ATCTTTGCACGGCAATAGCAGCCAGATAATAACAATATTATTAGAGCCTGGAACCAATATATTATAGACACATAAAAAAACCCCACCATGTCGGTTGCCTTTGCTTCTGCTCGCCCAAGAGGCAAAGGGGAGGTCACCCAGCAAACTATCCAGAAGGTAAAAAAGCATGCTTTTATACAGACAATTTTAGACATTTATTCTGTCCATGCTCCTGTAGCTGAGGAAGGAGGCTTATTTCTAGGGCGATCCGGAAAACTAGTGAATTTGCGAGGGCTGCAGAGATGGACAGCTGGAGAGAGAGGTGGGGGAAGGAGGAGGAGGAGGAGGTGGAACAAAGCAAAGGTGTTCAGATCACTGCAAAGAGAGCGAGAGAAGGACTTGGGGCATAAAATTGGGATGGCACGTTATCTCTGCTGCTCGCAAAGGGCAAAAAAGCTGCCAATAATACATTGGGGAATTGCAATAAAATCTGCAAATACGTGATTAATTTCTGATGGCAGGTCAGCTTCTGGCCCCCCCAGAAAACCCAACCTCAAAAATGAATTAAAATACTGAATTTGCAAGGGTTTTCTTTTGTATTTGGATGCAGAATTTTAATCTCTCGGAAGATAGAGGGAGCACCAGTCGCTGGTATTCCTCAGATACTGTTACTGTTATTTGTGATGTGTTTATTGATGTTTAATGACAAAGGTTTCGAAAGGTTTCCTTTGGAGAGGAGATGTCGGCATGGGTCTCGTGTGGAGGCCAAGGCAGAGGGTTCCTAGTTGGGAAGTTATTGTTTCCTATTTCGCAGGATTGACAGCAGGGACTCCGCACACATGCCCGACAGCCCCTTCCTCCCGCAGAAGGTAACGGTCAGTAAGGAAGAGGCTGGAAATGTCAATAAAGAACATGCATGTTTATACTTTGACTGCTATTGGTCATTTGTACTTCTACCGTATTTTTGGCGTGTTCCCCACCGCAGAGGTGTTTCGCTTGTGCGGAGTCGTGTAGCGCGGTGGAGGTGAGGTGTGCATGTTCTACGTGGTCCATTCGTAAATGGTGACCAGTGAAGAAGTGCCATTGCTAGTACAGCAATTAACCCATCATCAGTGGGTGTTGCAGCCAAAGCATCACCTGGTGCCAATTTATGACTTCTAGGGAAAAAATCCTCAGTGGAAGACTGTGACGGAACAGAGATTAAGACAGAACAAACTGCCGTAAGGGAGACTGCAGAGATGACTTGAATCTCAGGAGGCTGTTTGGGAACTAATCCCGTTTTGTGTAGCTCTTGCAGCACATGTAGTATTGTGAACTGGTTAATTTTAAATTCTAAAATATTTCAGACTCAGTGAGTAAGTTTTTCTCTAACCTCCGGATTGACTGGGGTTAGAACAGAATTTCATAATTCAGATAGTTTGTACTTAAAACATGACTGCATCCACAGACAAAGGGCAGCCAAAGTATCTTCAGGTTGATTTTCAAGCCCTTTCCTTTTTGCGTATTCATAAACTTTCTGGAAGCTTCAAAATGTTATTCCTTTACCAATAACATGTGAAAACATTTCCCACCTCAGGTACCTTTGCTGGCATGTTACTTCAGGACTGTTCATCAGTGTTGGGCTGTGGGCAGCGATTTTCGTTTTGACAAGCAGTGAGGCTGAGGAAGAGACTTGCAGGCACAGTAACTAGATGGGCTTTGTAGTCACGTGTAGAAATGGGGCGGTGAGAGAAGGAGCAGGTGCTGGGCTAGGAACTCAAAAAATCCTCATTAAAGTGAGCTTTTTAGAACACATACCGATTTCATTGAAAAACAAGATTATTCTCATTTGTAGTCGTAATATATGAGCAGCTTATTTTTATTTATTAACTCAATTTTGGTAGTCTTTCAAAGCTGTTATTATTCCAGTACCAACTATTCCTAAAATAGACTTCACATGGAGGAAGTTAGAGCTTTTGACAAGAGAGCAGTGATGGTGGTGCTTCAATAGTTCATCAAATAGCATTTGCAGAGCAGTAAACTTCAGCTTCTTCTGTGTAATGGAGATCAGAAGTCGGTTCTTTTTTCCTAGTAAGTTAGGAAAAGAGCTATTCCTGATTCCTTTTTCAGTAAGCAAAATATTTTTCAGCTAATTGTGGAAGCATAGCCCTTTTCCAACAAAGATATCTGTAATATTGCTTGGACTCTTGCTGTTGAATAGGCATCTTAACTGAATGTGGAAATAACTGCCAGCGATATCTGTTGTGGAAACTGAAAAGGATGGGTTTATATTCTTTGCTAATTGTATATACAGAATTTCCACTGACACGGGTGAAAATTCTGTACAACAATGAGTACAGAGCATGAAACAAAGAGCTGCACTGTGCATCAGGCAGGAGTATTTTCTCTTAAAATCGTATGCTGCACCCGGGTTGCCATGTGAGCATAGGCACGCATGCAGGAGGAACATGGATTCTTGACTGACACAATTCTGACGTTCCCCGTCAGCATTCGAGAGAGCAGCCTGCCGACCTGCCGTGGCAGGCCACAGCAACGCCTCCGTTCCTCAGACCCTCGCTGACTTGAGCTACAGGGGATCACTGCAAGTTCCAGCAGCCAGAGCCTGTGATGGACGAGGGTGTCCGGCAAAGTTAAGACCAACCTGCAAATTACGAGCAAGAAGCAGGACAAGCTGAGTTCTCTAAGGGAGTGACTAGCTAGATTGCAAGTGCATCAGAAAGACTCTTCTGCTCATTTTCCTGTAATCTAGCCCTTTGTTTGCATCTGAATGGGTCAAGAATTTATTCTGGTCAGAACACATACCTATACGGATTAATTCACATTTAACTCCTATGAAGACACGTTCTTCTTTCCTGAAGAGCTCTTCTATCCTGATGACACAGTGGTTAAAGGCCCAATCTTGCAAGCACTTAACAGCAGCCGTACCCGCAAACTGCACCATGTAGTGAGTTTTTGCCAGAGGCAAATCTAAATTTGTAAATACTGTTGTTATTTTTCCATTCATTCACCTGCAGAAAGCTTGCCGCATTCACAAGAAAGCTGGGGGGGAGACACAAACTGTTGTATGTGAAATTTTAAAGCAAATCAAAGGATATTTTAAGCTTTTAATTGTATTATAAGTTCATTAAATAAAGGTCAGTGGTCATTTTGTCCAGCAGCTCTGATCTTCTTGGAACAAGTCAGTCACTAGAATTTATTGAATGAAGCTGAGCCAGCAGCCACTGATACACATAAATTAACTGATACATAATTGCTCTGTGTTTTCATTTTAAGTCCTCCCTGTATTAGAACTGAACTACCCCAAAGGACGCACTGGGATGTAATTCTCTTAAATGTGGTTTCAGTAGATCCAGTAATGCAAATTTTATACTCCATCAAGTTCAGTAGTCTGCACACGCTAGTCCTGTGCAGGAAAACTAGTAGGTTTAAATTGTTTGAAAGTATGTTTCTTATTTGAAAGCAGGCATGTTAGTGAAATCTGGAGTTTTGGAAAGGGTTGGGTGATGTATTAGAATGAGGCAGAGGTGTTTCATAGGGAAAGCGTTTTCCTTCTTCAGCATAAAAATCTATCTGCCATTTAAGGAGCAAAAAAGGTAAGTCCATTACTACTTCTGTGTTGGGTATTTCAACTAATTCCTTTAAAGATAACTGTCATAAATGAATGATTTGAAAAGCACAATCTTGTGGCTCAATAAAGTCACGTGTAGGTACTCTGTAATATCCCAAGGCAACAAAACTGCACAAAACACCATGCACTGCCAAGAAGGGTCAGTGTGGAGTATCACAAAAACACGGGACTTTAATATGATTCTCGTAGTAACGTGTTTTGATCGTATTTCTTTTTATGCAGATGCTAGATGAAAATCACCACCTAATACAATGTATTATGGATTATCAGAGCAAGGGGAAAACTGCAGAATGTACTCAGTGAGTATTATGAGTTTTGGAGTGTGTTAGAAATTTTGGGTGTACTTTTTCTCAAGAACAGTACTATGAACAGTTCTGTTCACTGATCACCGAGAAAACAGTTGGACTATTTTTTTAGATTCACTTGTATTAAGAAGTGTATATTGTTCTTGGAACAGAGTTTTTTTCTGAAGTATTTGAGTGTTTACAATATTTTTAACAGATCATTTATTGAAATAATTATAAACAGTTATGGTTATTGGACCACTTGCTCTATGTAGATTCATTAAATACAAGTAGAATCAGGTACAAAGTTAGTAACACATTTTCATCAGAAAGTAATTAAATGTTGAGGATCAGCTATGTGGTTATCTATGGCTAAAACAATACGCGTGTGGACATACCAGTTTGTATCACTGCTTACTATTACTAATCTTGAAAGCAAAATACTTTTATGAACTTTAGGGGTTAAATCTCAGTCAGGAAGAATAGCCAATCTGCCCCATGAAAGGTCAAGTTATGGGCCCAAGCCCAGAAAGCTGTACTTTCAAAAAAATTAGTCTAAAAAAGATGCCTTTGCTAAAGAAGTCATGTCGCCATTCTCGCTTCATTTTTGCCACTTTTCCCACTTCGCAGCCATTTTCCCCTCATCAGAAGAAAGCTCATGCTAAAAAAGCATTTTCTCTTGCCTTCTTGGAACCCTCCATGTTTCCAAAGGTTTGACTCTTCACTTTGCTCAATGGCACAGCTGTTAGCTTGCTTTTGGATGCCCTCTTGTTCTTTATTATGAGCTTTTCCAGTTCGTTGAGAACTGTGAAGAAGCATAAATGGTTCTGGTGGTGTTTACTTGAGTAAACACTCCAGTTAGAGCACTCTTGAAAAAAATCTTGTTCTTCTCAGCTTGCTGGCAGGGCAAACAGGTTTTGTTTTTTGGAGTTCTGGAATTTCCATACTACTAGGACCCTTGTTAAACAGAAGAGGAAAAGGTGGCTCATTGTTAGAGCAGCTGACCGGGTGTCAGTACTCAAAGACTGAGGTCCCAGCTTCACAGTTCCCTCAAAGTGCTTTCAAAGGAGAGTGTATTTTACCTCTCCCCTCCCCCAAGTTTACCCATTTGTAAAAGAGGTGTTGAACATGCTGATCCTTGATGAAAAGCATGACAGCACAGATACAGGTCATTACTATCGCTACTTATTATGACAGATGAAAAGTGGGCTAATGTAATTTAACTAATCATTTGTAAATAGCAAAAAAAAAAAAGAGAAATGTTTGGAATTTTCTGTATTGTTAACCCTTTCTGAATAAGCTTTATTCCTTATTCTGTAGATACCAACAAATCTTGCACAGAAACCTGGTTTACTTGGCAACAATAGCAGATTCTAACCAGAATATGCAGTCCTTGCTTCCTGCTGTAAGTACCAGTGCTACCATCAGATACATTTACTGTGCCAGAGGGAAATGTTCTTTGATTCTGTTACTGATCACTGTCAATAAACCATTTTTAGTATTTTTCCAGCTAAAAGTTTTGAAGGGGTCAAGTAGACCACTAAATAAATCAAAAGCTACTTTTACTGTGTTTAAAACAAATTCTTTGGGATATTTGTGTTAATCTCTTGTCTCTGTAGCTCAAGGTCTATGTACTATAAATGGTGCAGTGGTACAGATCTGAACAGGGTCCATTTGTTCCAGATTCATTATTCTTTACCTATTCTTACTGTATTCTTTACTCAGGAAAAAAATGCCACTATTTTATGTCAAAAATCTAATTCAGCATTTGGGCATTGGTTTGTCTTTAAACATTGTGTTATTCTTGCTAAATTGATTGATTTTGGAGGTATCACACATAACACAAAATACAGCATAGCTTTATGCTTGACAAAGGTCAATTTGTCAACACGCTTCTGTATCGTCTTTGCTAATGCAAATCCCCTCAGCAGTTACGTTCTGACCAGCACAAAATGAAACTCATCTAAGTACGGAAGAATGGGCACAGAAGCTGGACTCTATTATAAGCACAATTTTAAGATCTTCACTGTGCTGCCTGCCGGCTTCTCTATATCATGCTGAATGTCATTCACACATAGTAGTCAAACGAATAAAGGTTTACGCAAGCAAGGCCAGAAAGTGAAAGAAGCACATACTGAGTTGCGGCAGTTTTTAGTCACTCAGGCTAATTCGGGGGTTATTATATTTCTAATTAAAACCTAACGAAAAATTTGCTTCTCCTCCTTGTTATTTGCAGCCACCAACGCAAAACATAAACTTGGGCCCAGGAGGAATGACTCAGAGTGCATCCAACCAATCTCTCCATTCACAGAGCAATCTCAGTGATGCAATTGGGACGGGCCTTCCTCCTTCCTCCCTCATGCAGAGTCAGATTAGCAATGGTGAGCTTCGGTCCCCTTTGTGCTGCTTTGCTGTTGCTTGGCAACAAAATCATTAATGCAGAATATATTTGCAGAGCTGTAAAAGACCTCTCCTAACTCACCTTTCAGGCATATGGGGATTTCAGGCACATGCCGAAATCATCACAAAATGGCTACAGTCAGTAATGGTGTTGGCTTCTGCAAGGACTCCAATCTGCTTAGTATTTCTATAGGGGAAATTAAAAACATTTTTTTAAAAAAGCATATGAAAATCACCAAGTAAAGATGCATCCAAGTTTTTAGTAAGAAAAATTATGTATTGTGGTATTTTTCTCTTGAAGGTGGTGGGGTTGGCCAGGGTAAAATGGAATTGTCTGCATGACTAACCGCACAACCAAGCCTGCAAAGACCTTCCAGGATACATGCCTTCTTAAAAATAGTTTGGTATTGCATCAGTCTTTGTCCTCTACAGAAGCTTGCAGAGATTGTACTACATAGCCAAAGAGTTTGCACAGACATTTCATATGAATAAGATAATATACTTTGTCTATTTGGTTTTGTTCGTGCAACTAAAAGAAACTAATTGAAAGACAAAAAAGTTTTTTTTACTCTGTGCATTTTATAGTATGAATAATCTCTTTGTTTATTTTGTAGTTCATAGTTATTTCGTCAGTTCTTGTTTCTGTGGGTCTTTCCCAGAGTGACAGAGAGAGAAAACAGTTTCTATAAATAGAAATATCTGATTGTAAAATCACAGACCTTGGCAGGGGGACTCAAGAGCAGATGCAAGCCATGAAATTACTTCTGACTTTTTAAAAATCCGTTTGTGGTCAAGCTGATAGTACCTTTTAAACTAAGGGATGAGGTACCTACTTGAAACAGTTACAGCTTGTAAAGTGGACTTATTAAATTTATCTGGGCCTTCTTTTTGAAAGATTTATTACCTAGTATTATAGTAAGTCAGTCAAAACACTGTTTTGTGTTACTAAGAATCTATATTTTCAGTGTTGCTGTTGCTGGTTTTTCTGATTTGCCCCCCACCCTTCAGTTCTTTATAGTAATTTAGTGCTGATCGAAAGAACCAGACTGGCAGTCCTGAAGACTCGAGTCATCCGCAGAGCAGAAGCAGCCAGGGCAGTTTACCTCATGTTGCAAGTTTACCCCATGTTGCCCCAACCCAGTACTAAAACCCAGCCTGCGTTGTGGGGGTCTCAGGGTAGTGCATTCTCTGCCCAGTCACTGAGACTCTGTCACCTGGGTAGTGCCAGGTATTTTATCATGAAAATACCAGTCCACTGGAAACCAGACTGAAGACATAGCTACACTTCAAAACGAAGGTGTGACTGAGAATGCAGTAGCTTGCCTCTTCTGAGTAGCCTAGGTAACAGCAGCAGTGATGGCATGTGCTCTGCTGCTAGTGCCTGCTGTGAGAATAGGACCCTCATACCCTTGGGCTTGGAGACACTCCCCTTGGTTGCCAGTCTCTACTGCTACTGTCTCTGTGCCAGCTAGAATCAAGTTAGCACAGTGATGCTGTATGACACAGCAGTCTTGATGTGCAGGTAGACTTTGAGACTGAGAAATTATTTCACATTGGTCAACAATTGTTGGACAGCGGTTTTCTGGAAATTAGGAATAAATATGCACAAACAATTCAAATCTATGGGCTCTAGTACTTGTGAAAATTTCTCATCTAATGGCAATAGAGATGAAAGTCTGTAACAAACAGGTACAGCATTGTAAAAGAGGGAAGAACAGGGAAGGAGACATAGAAGCTACTACATTTGAGTCTTTATTATCCTCAGTCAGGACTTTACAGGAATCACCTCTGCAGGACAGTAACTAGGTAATTCCCGACATACATAATAAGTTAAAAAACAACCCACTGAAATTTCCAGTAATCCACCATTCACAAGTCAGTGATTCTTTGTGCCACAGCCCTGCAGATTCTTTATTACCCTAGGACAGGACTTTACAGGAATCGCCTCTGCAGGACAGTAACTAGGTCCCGACATACATAATAAGTTAAAAAACAACCCACTGAAATTTCCAGTAATCCACCATTCACAAGTCAGTGATTCTTTGTGCCACAGCCCTGCAGGCAAACCCATTAGATTCAATAAACCAACCAGCGAAACTCGGCTGCCTCTGGAGAGAATCGGGCCCAACTGAGGATTTTAACTGTTAACAAATCATGAATGAGGCCTTTCAAAGAAAAACCCAACTGCCTAAGATCCATGAAAGTATGAAAGAGGTTCAACGCTTTGTATTTATCTTATTGTTTTAGTGGTTTTATTTAAACACTTTTGGTCATGCTTTCATATTTTCTCTTACAATCACAAAGTAGCCAAACTTTTTTTTTTTTTTTTTTTTTTTTTTTTTAAAGAAGGCCAAGATTCTCAAAGTTTTCCCAGGCAAATATGGCAAGGTTTGCCAACGCTTGCTTCACTCCATCTCTCACTCAACGCAACTGCTAGCTCCATTCAAACACCATGGGGTCTTGTGTTGCACAAGTAGAAGTATCAGCTTTACAAGACACACAAAACTGTAGCAAAACACAGGGCTAGATCTCTGTAGCGGTATATTGACCTGGCCTCACTGATTTCAGTGGAGCTGCCTCTCTTTATCTCTTGTTGAAAATGCTGCTTGCATCTCCCCATCAAAGGAAAATATAATAATCTACAGCAAATTTTCTCATTTTGATATCTATAAAAACCATTAAGACTAATTAACGACGTTTGTACTAAGAGAATTAAACACATTTTTCAGAAGCTGTAGATACACTTAATAACCGTGAATTAAAATATCATTATCTAAACATTACAACATAATTCTGTCTCTTCTAGGGATTCTGCATATCTTCCATTCTACCTAAATTAATTTAGATTGACAACAATACAGCTGAATTTAGACAGACAACAATACACACTATCACAATTTAGATAGTAACGATACACAATGAAAACAACTGTCCAAAACTCATTCATAAAAGTATTTACAGCAACAAACAACAAAAAATGACCAGATTCTCCCCAATTTTAGTTACCCAACAGCAATAGAATTTTAAAAAATAAGCATACTGCCAGGTAACCAGGATGATACTCTCAAAACCAGGATATAATTGGAGCAGTCTGATAATTACATACGGTGATGTTGGAAAGCGGGTACTGTAACAACAGGGATTATGATGGTGACTTGGAAAATTTATCTTCCGAAAGCCTGAGGTACTTTCAGTCAAACTCTAGGAAAGGGAAAGACAGGCTCCCCTCTCCTCCCCTCTGAGGTACTTGGTCCCTTGGTACTTCCTAAGTGCCAGCTAAGAAGGTTAGTTGGTTATAGAGGAACCGAATGGATGCAGCAATGTGCAAAGTGTTTCTCAGCCACTACTGTGCCTTCCCATTGTCGCCATCCGTGTGAAAGGGGAAGAGGAATCAACAGCAGGAGGAAGGAAAGGACAAATTTCAGAAGGCTGGGATGTTTCCAGAGTCCATGTATTTTCTGAAGTATCTGAAATTACTGGCTTTTGTTAATTCTGCTGCCTGCGAGGAACTGGTTGTAGGGCATTGCTGCTGGTTTTGTTCTTCCTGTCTGCAATTCTGTACAGCCTGGATTTGGCTGCCAGGAAGAGGAGGATCACTCTAACTGTGCAGTAGGCAGTTTTAATTTGTCTGTAGATAACAGGGAATTTTAATAATGAGGATTTTGTTTTGTTTTGTTTTGCCTTATCATAAGGTATTTCAGAAGGGCCGCGAGGGCTTTAATGCTCACTGTACGTTGCCAATAATAGCACAGATTTTCTTGTTGCTCTCTTTAATTTTTCTAGGTCCTAATCACGTGTCTATGCAGCAGTCAGGCCAGAACACTATGCCCACGACCTCTCTGAGTATGACTGTCAGCAGTCATGGAACTGGGCCTGGTTATAGCCATACAGTGCCTGCATCTCAGAATGTGCCAATGCAAGGCCAGGGGTCAATAGGCAATTATGTCTCTCGAACAAACATCAACATGCAGTCTAATCCAGGTAAACTCCCTCTTCCTCCTCCTGGGCCAACTTGACTTTTCAGTGACCTCAGAGGTTTACCACACATGAATTTGTTCTGTAAATATTTTCTGTAGACAGCGACAAACATACAAGAGGAAAAGACAGCTTTAAGACATCTCTGAATTTCAAGGTGTCAGGCATCAGTGTAAGTCAAAACAGTTTCAGACTTGCTTTAACTTACACCGACTTGCTATGGTTAGCAATGAGTTGGGGAAAAGAAGGTTAGCTAAAAGTGCAGCAGCACTATCTGATAGCCCCTGGCAGCAAATCCCACAACCGTGGGAGGGATCTGAGAAGCACCTTTATCCTAGCTGAAAGAGCCTGCCAGAGAGTATTACACATTTACTGTTTGTACATGACTACCCCGTTTTTGTTATTTTATTGATACTTCACACTGCTTGCAGGGCATAGAGAGACTAGCAGACAACTCAGAATTAATCTCTTAATTTCTAAAAATGTTTGCTACTGAGTATTGAATAGGATGTCCAATGCTTAAGAATTCTTTCTGACAATATGAAATTTAGGGATCAAATAAATCCTAGAATGTCAGTTTATTTAAACTGTATAATCATCAGGTATATAATAAGATGGAAGTAGAAGAAAGAGTTGACTAGAAAAGAAATGCAGCAATGAATTAATCAGGAGGTAGAGAGGAACAAGCATCAGTTCTTATTTCTTTCTTTAATCCTACTGCAATAATGATTACATTCTTTTAAATAAACTAATAATAATCAAGGCTAGACGTAGTTTTAAATGTCTGACTGAAGCAAATGGCAAGAACTGACCATGCAATAGCATCCTTTCTGGATTACAAGGCAGAAGAGTTAAATACATGCAGTAGGAAAACATCTCCCCCTGTGGAAAATTCACAGAATTATCAGGATGCATGTTAGTTGAAGGTTTTAACTTGCTTCCAAATAGACTAGGGAGAGAACTGTCACATCCTTTTAGAAAACAGTATTTTCCATGTACATTGTAGTCTCCATGATGCACCAGCAAGCAGCAACGTCACATTACAACTCGGCACAAGGAGGGAGCCAGCATTACCAGGGGCAATCCTCCATTGCCATGATGAGTCAGAGCAACCAAGGCAACAGCATGATGGGTCAGCGACCAATGGGCCCTTACAGAGCTTCACAGCAAGGTAAAATCTATTATTAGATTATTGATATAATTATTATTAGATTGATGATATTCAGTCTGTCCTGTGGGGTAGGTAAGTCAACAAAATTTCCAAGTCATGTTTATGAACAGGGAATCCTATCTGGGAGCACAGGAAATCTCGAATAGTGGAAGTATCACGACAATCAGATGAACTTTAATCCATTTTCAAGATTTATCTATTTAATTATTTCAGGTGTTTAGAAGAATAATTCTGTCTAAAAGGGATCATATATCTTTAAAAAAAAGATGAACAATTTGATATACAACTCACTCAAGCCACTGGGAATCTTTTCAATTCTTTCAAATGGTATTGGATCAGCTGTAACATGGCACAGTTAACAAGGAACATATTTCTGCAAAGAAGATATAGTTTGCCAGCAATTAGTACAAAAAATTAGGCCAAGGAAGGGAAAACACCAGAGGATAACTACCATGCTCTAAGACCTCTCTGGAAAAAGTTCTAAGAAGTAATAAAGCTGCTAGACTGATTCTGACATAAACTGAATTTTGCTAAGAAACAAAGTAATACATTCATTAAAATATATTTAATTCTGACTGTGTTCTTGAGCATGGAATACATTCCTGTGCTTTCTAATAACTTAGATTAGTAGATGAAATGTAACCATTACTTTCGGTATTGCCACAGAAGTGAGCGGGTTTAGGACATGTTACTGACAGTTGCTTAATTTCAATTTCAACCAGCTTCTTCTGAGAATACAAATTTATTTCCTTTTTCTAGTGAGCAAAACATCTTTGAAACTGCTCTCAACATACATAGCTTGTTTACTTATCCAGATGTAAACGCTGTTTTCTTAAAAATAAATTAGATAAGAAAATAACATCCCTTAGGAGTCCACGGGCTCAGTTTGCTCTCTCTTGCCTTTGCCTTGCAGGTTCCTCGCAGCAGTACATGGGTCAGGAAGAATATTACAGTGAACAGTACAGTCATGGACAAGGCTCCTCAGAACCTATGAATCAGCAGTATTATCCAGATGGTAATTCTTCTGAGCTGTAGTCACTGTGATACTGCTAAAGTGTAGACCAGCATGACTGCCACATCCAAGGACGTGGCAAACCCGTTACGATTCATTTCCAATTTAAATGCTAGAGAATTCTAATCCCAGGGCATGGGAGCCTGGTACACAAACATACGCATCAGTGCACCCTGCTATCCAAACTGCTTCAAAAAGAGCACAAAGCCAAGTTTGGACTAGTGAATGCAAGAGATTTATCCATAGGTGTGACTTTCCTTGCCATGTATTCAACCTCCTACCTAAGGGGTCTGTATTTCCTCTTAGCCTCATCTTTGTGCGTAAGCAGCTTCATAATATATGTATTCAACAATGTATCTCTAGTTATATTAACAATGTATCTGATGAATCTTTGCAATTCCTTGTAGGACATGGTGATTATGCCTATCAGCAGTCATCCTATACTGAGCAGAGCTATGACAGGTCATTTGACGACTCTACACAACACTATTATGAAGGAGGTAGGAAAATATATTGGCAATCTTTGTAAACCAAAGCTCTACTCCCCTAATATACTAATGAAATGCTTATGAAAATGTAAAATATGACTTGCAATTTCTGCATCACTAACTGCTACGTAGCCATTACTTAAGGAGTGTCCAGGAAATAGAATTTAGCTATGTATAACATTTTTTATACCAAGACTGTATCAGACTGTATACACAGTATCATGTCAGTGACTGTACTGTGAGGCAGTCATGCTGTGCAGCCTTGTGGGATCACTAACAACTTGTGCGTAGCCTCATATTCATTAGAAAAATGATCCTTGGTTGTAGCTGAGCCAGGTGGAATTATAGCTATAGATATTGAACTTTTTTTGCAGCAAGAGAAAAGACTTCCAAGATATCAGTATCCTCCACTCTTACAAAACTGTTTAACAACCGTTTTATGGAATGCAAATAAAAATGGCTGTGTTAAAGTAAAAGGTTATGCTGACAAAGGTAAACTACCGTGCTGCAGTTAGAAACAGAGCTGGAAAAAAATGACAGCCATAAGTGGAGATTTCTCTAAAGCAAGAAAGCCTACTGGTTAATTCCAAGATGAACTTTTTTTAATCTTACTTAATTCACCTTACAAATTGTGAAAAAGAATGGGTTACATGAAATTAATCTTTGAAAATCACCAATACTATGGGTTTGCAATTCTACCACAAAAAATCTCTCAACAGTAGTACGTCAGTAAATTCAGTGATACTATTACGGTATCTGAACTCTAAATTAACTGCAAAATATTAACTTAATTACGATACAGCGAGGTGGCATTTAGGAAAAGCAATGTCGTCTGCATAGTCTCCATTCATTCTGTGGTTTCAGGATTCTGCAAATGGAATTTCCATCATAGGTATTTCAAAAAATACCAGTAACAACTAGGTAAGTGGTCTTTCTGGGATATATGAATAAACATCATTATCTGGAAGAAAATACAGTGAAAGGGCTTCTTGACAAGCCAGCTATTTACCCTGGCACTCTTATCTTTGTGACTGCATTGTTCTTCCGAAACACTTCTGGGGTAAAAAACATCCTTTGGGGAACAGGTTGCTTGTTTGTTTGTTTGTTTAGTGACGTGTATAAATAAACAACTCTCTCCTGTTCAAAAGACCTAAGAATCACTGAAGAAAGAAACTCATCATGATTGGCAAAATGCAAACATCCGTTTCTGAAAAGAGTACTCGTCTATGAGTTCCAGACCAAGGCTCCTTTGTTTTCCTTATGATTAGCATGTACAGTGAAATACCTGCTCATCTTTAACCAAACTATTTCAATTTTTCCCTCTTTAGGAAATTCTCAGTACAGCCAGCAGCAGGCAGGATACCAACAGGGAGCTGCACAACAGCAAACATATTCCCAGCAGCAATACCCAAACCAACAAAGTTACCCAGGACAACAGCAAGGATATGGTAAGAAAACTGCCACTGACCGGCCAAGTGTTTGCAATACTTCATCCTGATGCTTCCATTCCTAAGCTAAAATGTGCTGTAAACTATTTCCTTGATTGACCTTGGACATCCACATACCAAAACTATCCAAAGAGCATAGCCTGTAAAGGGATTCGGGGCAGTAACATACATTAGTATAGCACTGCATTCCATACTGTTGTGTTCGCATCCTGAATCCCTCTCTCTTTTGAAAGTTAGAAAGTACACTTTTGCCTCATTTTGACTTCCTTGAAAGTGCTGCCAGGAGGTGACTGCCTGGATTCTCAGGCCTCCTACACATCTAATAGTTCTGCAACTGACATGAAAAAATGACATCAGTAGTCCAGAGAATCCCTACTCCCGCACTTAAATTTCTTGCAGCATCATACAGGTTACAGTTCTTGGTGAGGGACTGAGGTGAAAGGAGAAAAGTGGAAGTGCTTTGAACATGCAGCTAACACTGGTGCGGGGCTTTCAAACCCTTCAGGTCACCAGTGGCAGAGCTCCCCACTGTTATCGAAAGAATCTGAGTTTGATGGCTGTCTTTGAGTTTTCTGCCCGATTGGAGGCATCCTGTATGTATCCTCAGCCTTTGGGAGAAAGCAACCATTTCAGGTTATTCAGTACAAAAACAGGGGCCGGAGAGATTGGAATAATCTAAATACTAGCTCCAAGGCAAGGGATTTCTGGTGCATCTCCCAAATGTGCTGGTACTTGACCTTGAACTGGCAATGTTAACCAAACTTGATAAATTGATGTTGATATGAACAGCAAATCCATTTTAGAAATGTAAGATCTCATGAAACAGAACCTACATGCCTAAAAAGTTAATTAAATTATTACCACCTGACTCTGCAGTGCCAGTAGATAGTTTGGACTACTCAAACCAGACATATTCTGTGAAATTAAACCCAAAATTCAGTTTATGATGTTAAAATCTGGCCTCCTCTTTTTAAAGGTTTTCCATAAAAATCCACCGATAATGCTAAAAAGTAAGTGCACGTAGCAGTCTATACACAGAATATACAGTCCCAAATAAAAGGAAATCAATATCCCTGTGCAGTTGTGTGTCTGATTTACATGTTTTTTAAAATTATCTCTATATGCAAGAGATTTCTTAGGTTCTGCCTGGTCAGCAGTGCTTATGGTGGCACAGCCAGATTAAATAGGAAGTTAAACGTGCAATTGTTATGAAAATAAAGGCCAGGTAGCTTGCATATAGGTAATAATTGAGGTGTGCCAATACAGATTTCAGAGAGGCAAATTACTTAAAAGTAGATCACATTTTCTGAGCAAAGTTTAAAACCTGAAGTTTGCACTGCTGCAACTAGACAACTAGATCACTATTAGTATTGATGCTTTCTAGAGTAAAGCTAGAGGGGAGGTCTAGGCAAAATTTACTCATAGTTCACACTTGCAGAGCTTACTTTATTACCATTATGTTTTACATTATGTTAACCATAAGAACTCCCCCTAGCAAATCAAGCCTTAGTAATAGATTTCACTGTCTTCTCAGGTCCTGCACAAGGAGCCTCTTCACAGTATTCCAGCTACCAACAGGGACAGGGGCAGCAATATGGAAGTTACAGAGCTTCTCAGACAGGCCCATCCGCTCAGCAACAGAGGCCTTATGGCTATGAGCAGGTACATTGTCTAAATCTCTTGATATGAAAAAGCAGATTTAGCTGTTAGCTCCGCATATAAATCTATCTGATAACTTGTTGCAGGCATATTGGTGATACTTCAGTGGGTCTTTCAAAATTCATAGACCAAAAGAAATTGTCTAACTCACTGTTCGTAAACCTGATATATTATTCTCCAACATTTTTATTTCTCTTTTTTATAGGGACAATATGGAAATTACCAGCAATAAAAGAATACGATCCTGTGTCAGATTCATTTCAATAGTATCTCCATCTTTTGAACTGGATGTACAGGCAGTTTTGATTAATTGTAATATGTTGGTTACCCCTTAGCACAAAGCAGCGTCTGTATGTGAACAGTGTTCATTTCATGCTGGATATGAAGCAGTGCACTACTGGTAACAAGACAATGCTTTAATGGTTTGATATTTGGTGCTGTGTATAGTACTGTATGTTGATACAATGCAGAAGTTTTTCATTTACCCCCCCACTCCCACCCCATTCTTGATGTTTCTAAATAGCTTTAGGATCATTTGATCACAGTTGTGCCCCGTTCTGGAAAACAGCCAGGTTATTCTGCGGTCTGGCTCAATACAAAGCCATTCAGTCATATCTCGGTCCAGGCAGGTATCCTGTGGTAGGTTAGTGATCTTTTTTTAACTGAATGCATTGAAGATTACCTGCCAGCCTCTGAAATCCATGGCTCTTAACTTTACTTCTTAAGAGTAAGGGGATAGATACATTCCTTATGTGAAGACAGTTCTATGCTATGTGATAAAAATAAAATTAACTGCAACTTCTGCAATACCTACCGGGGCTAACTACCCAAGTCTTATAATTCAATAATCTGCATAAGTCCACGTTCCTGTTGTAAAAGCTACAGAAAAAGGTTCAAAACCTATATTCAAGGAAATGTTAATCACTAGAGGCACCTTTTATATATCCATGTAAACTAAGGTATTTCTATATTGTGGAAAGAAAAATAGAAGGGAGCTCCAAGATCAGCAGTGTCAGCCTACTAGATGTCAATATTGCTTCATATTGTGCTTAGCTGAGAAAAACATCTGGCAAAACTCCAGTCTTAAATATGCTACTCCAAATTTTATAACTCGCATATACATTTTCATGCCAAATTTTGCAAGCAGGTGGCTGGCATCCTTCTCCATTTCTGATTCTTCCATTGCCCTTGCTCAGATTTTCCAGCAAGCATTATAACCATAAATACTGTCAAATCTTTTGGTTGACTGTTCTTACAGCTCATCATCGCTTTTATTTTTCTCTTGTAGCTTGACAGAAATAGTTCAGAAGAAAAAAAAAATCCATCTTTATTGCAGATAAGCAATTAAATTCAGCTTTAATTGTGAAACAATATTATGCTATATATAGAGGGGAACTATTAATGGGGTCAACCAGTGAGAGAATACCTATAGAGGGAGAATTTAGAAATAAAAACTAGTGGTATGTAAAAGCCAGTATGAACAATGTTAAGTCACTTCTATTCAGTTTTGTATGTTCTTATAAAGTTTTGGAAAAAAGCACTTATAAAGTGCTTATGTAAGTGCTGAACAAAATACCATGTCCAAACTTCTCTGAGGCAAAAGGCTAGGATGACTATAGTCCATGAGCATTTTTTAATACGAGATTAACTGCCAATTTACAATATAGAGTAAATACACCCTCTGTAGGATTTTCTCCTTTTCTTTGTCTGAACTGGTATATTTATGGGCTTTCAAGTTCTAGTACTTTATATTTTGAAAAACCAAGACCACAAGGAAAATAAAAGATCTCTCAATTCATTACTTTTTTTTCCTGTAGAGGAAAGTCTTTAACTGGACAGCTAAAGAGTTTACTATTAAATGTTGTCCAAGCACTGCCCTTGCTACATTAATAATTTTAATTACTGATAAAATAGAAGACATTTTTTTAGTCAGTCCGCATTTCTCTCATCTTTCCTGCTGGTGTTTTCATACAAGTAAGTACTCTCAAATAGCAAGGAACAGAAAGGAAGTAAGATTGTTTTCTTTATAATATGTTAATATTACAGGTAGCCAGAAGAATGCAATATTGCTCTTTGCCAGCTTGGAAATAGGCCTTTTATGTGGTTTTTGAAAGTGCTGGAATACTTTTGAGAGAATATGAACAACACTTAAAATGAAACAGCAACATTACATCAATCTGAAATGTCTTACATTAAGAACTTCTTGAATGTTGTGTATATAATGTATTTGAAAGAGCACTTTGGAAATAGTTTGTACATTTATTTCCTAATTTATACATGATTTTTGGTGTTAATATTTCTAATTGTTAATAACAAAATGTTTATTTAATGTGTTGTCCATTTTTATGTATTAATGTGGAAACAAAGTGATGCCAGCATTTTGACTTCTTCCATTAATTGTATCATTTTCTGTTTTGTAATACAGAATGCTTGAAAATTGTTTAGGTTAAAAATTATCTGAAAATGAAGTTGGTGGTACTTTTCTTATGACACAGACTTTTGAATGGAAACAACAGATAAAGGGAATCTTTTGAGTTCCACTTTCTCCCCTACTTCTCTGATACACTTCATAGATGACGAAAGCTTGTCCCAGCTTTCAAATTATTTGATATGCAAAGATCAAACGCTGTGTGTGTGCAGAGTGGATGTACGTAATTAACAGCTCACCTCACAGCGCGGAGTTGGGGACATGTGGCACGCTGACTGATGGCGCAGGAGGACCCCCCAAGGGGCAGGTCAGTCAGCAAGCCCCACGGGCGGCATCTGCACACGCGTTACTTTAGCTGCCGCAGCCCACTCCAGGCTCACTGCGGGGACAGCGACTTCTAGCGCCGTTAAGACCGAAGCGGGCAGGACACTCAGCACGCCCCTGACAGGACGGGATCCCAAAACCGGGCCTCCCAGGCATCCCGCCGCCCTGCCGCACCGCTCAGCCCCGGGACGTGCAGCGCCGCTCTTTCACGGACTAACTTAACCCTCACGGGAGCGAGCTGCGTCCGGGAGACTCTAGGCGGGGACACAACAAGTACCACGGGCCTTTGTGCGTAGCCCGGCGCCCAGACTCGACACTCTCCCCGGAGCGGCCG